TTTTCCCTCAAGCTTGGTGATCAAGCGTTACGACAAAACGTGCAAAAAGTAACTAAAGCTCGTAACTCACAAGTATGCGCCATTTTTCCAATGGCGTCGAGTTATACGTATCGGCCCCGACCCCCATCCCCCTGTTATTGTCGCCGAAGACGTTTTGCACGGGGAGTTTTCTGGGGTCTAAAAAATTGGGTTTGTCGCTTAACGCCCTGCAACCCTCAAGCTTTATTAGAACACTGGAAGATAGAGTGTCCTATGCAAAATTTTTGACAGAAGGGTTGCAAAATGTATTCTCATTATACTCTGGTGAGGAATTGACCACATTATAGCCGTACATGAGGTCCTTCTCCACGAACAGTACTCGCATGACATGCAGCGTAACAAGACACCTACCAAATATCTTTGCGATTACTGCAACATGGAGTTTACCACGAAACATGTGAGGCCTTTTCCCATCGTTCTTAGTGTTTCACCCAGCTTTCAATCTGTCTTCAATTTATTCAGCTTCGTGATGGACATCTGGTTAGTCACTTCGACCATATTATCGGGGATGTTTGGGAGCGTGTTGAACAGATGCAGAGCCAGTTTACCGGTAAGTTTGGTACATTTTGTTAATTTGCAGTTTATCATGGAAAAATTATATCTTGAATTTTTTCATGTTCTTTCTGAACTTTTTTTTGGCATTTTTGTGGATTCAAACCTTGGTGAAAATTTTGATCTTATGAAGCTCTGATCTGAGATTGCAGACCAACGGTTAGTCAATCAATGTCCGATATGTTTTCACGTCATGGGCAGCAGGAAGAGCTTCAAAATGCATATCATTCAGAAACATCTGATGAAGAATCCGGAAACCTTCATGGGTGAATTTGCCTTCTATCTTTCTGCAGTTTTGGCCTTCCATGAATGCGGATATTTTAGATATCCTCAATAGACCATCATTTATCGATAAGTTTTTCTTCACTCCTCAGCAAAGAAAACTAACCAGTGCTAGTTCCGCATCTCCACCTGCCACACTTGATTTGAAACAGGAATTATAGTATGCTTATCACCTTTGTGCAAATCTTTTTGTAGTCTTCGAATGTGCAAATATTGAAGAGATGTGTTATTTTCATTTTTGGTTTACTGCTACTTAATGCGATTATGCCTCAACGTCTTCGTTATGTCTTTCGCCAAATTTTATCTTATTCTGTTTTTTCT